CCAGACATTTGAGGATTAAAGTTTTCCCAATGGCCATGGATTGCTAACCGACGAGCGTTTTTGTCCCATAGACCATTGGAATTTTTGCCGACTGTCATCAAGAAACTCTGACGTTTTGCTCTTTCTAGAAGATTCCCCCTGAGAAAGTAATTTATGCGGCAAGATTTTATGTTTCCATTCTCTTTACGCTTCACCACTCGGATCAAGTTTTTGTTGGCAAGTTCCTTTAGGTAGCCTTGAGCAACTTGTTCCACTGTTTGTCCTCCTTTTTCATTCACGAAACCTTCCACTATCCATAGGCGAATCAAGGAGTTATACTTTATCAAGTAATATTCTGGATATATGGCCATATATAACAAACAGTATTTTAGATGGTAAGGCAAATCATTGAAGCTAAGCAGCAAGATCGTATTAAGTGTTTTAGTGCCTTCCATTTCAGCTCCAAGACTTTGATAAACCGTCTCCCATTCCGATCTGCTGCTCTTTGTGGCCAGAGTTCCACCAACAGACTTGATAGCAAGCGGCAGCCCACCACATCTCTCTAAGATATTATTAGTAATTTCCTCCAGATTGGAAGGACACGGTCTCCCTTGAAACGCCTTTTGACAAAACAGTGTCAAAGATTGCTCTTGAGTCAGGGGATGCAGCCTATATATATTCTCTTCCATTTCACTAGAATAGGAAGCTACAGCATTATCACGTGTTGTTACAATTAAACGACTGCCATTAGAGTTGTCAGGAAATGCACTTTTAATAGCGTCCCATTCTAGGGTGCTCCGTACATCGTCAAATACAATCACATACCTTGTTTTTCGTAAGAATCGGTAAATCCCCGCCTTCAGATGATTTTTATTCTTGGTGTTCATTTCAGGAGGGACTGCTCCCTTGGTTTCACGATAGAGTTGCTTAACCAAGTCCTCTAAAAGCTCTTCAATATTTGTTTTGTCGGAAAGGGCTTGAGGGACAGCTACGCAAGCGTGACTTTTGAAGCTCTTCTTCACTGCTGGATCATCATACACTTTCTTAACAAGAGCTGATTTCCCCACACCTACCGTTCCTACCACTGAAATTACACGCAGATCTAAACCACCTTCCATGACCAATCTCATTAACTCGCTTTTAGGTCCCTCAATTCCCACAAGATCAGCTTCTTCCCAAAGGGCATCACATCTAGTATCATTTGCAAGGTCAATGCTGGCATCAACATTTGAATTTGAACCTCCTGGAAGATCAATATATCTCTGACATCCGTCTTTAATACTGTTGACACGAGTATTAATGCTTTTGATATCAGAAAAAATCTCAGAAAGGAATCTTATATTTAGGGCGCAATTTAAAAAATTATGAACAGTATTGGACCACCCACTGCCCTTATTTTTCTTCATCACGAGTACAAATCTGTCGAGAACATCTTCAGTGTCGTATGCAACATTGCGAACTTCTTTGACCCAATTTTCCTTCCTCTCGTCCCTATCCCCCATGACACTATCAGCATCTTTGAGAAATGCCGTCATTCGATCCAACTCATATCTGATGTTCTCAACCTCGGCCTCAGCTTCTCCCGCCTCTCGCAGCTTTTCCTGTAGTATTGGTAGTGTGTTTCGTACAGCAAAAGAAATTACCACGTCGGCCATTTCACTTCTTTTTATCAAATTTTCTAGTTTGCAAGTTATGCTAGCAGATTGATGGTCCTCACAGCATTTATAAACTTCATCAAGTCTCCCTTCGCATTGAAACCTTGTATCCCATTAAGGAGACAAGGAGAGAATCTGTTAAGATTTGGGGTCCATCTTAATAAGGTGAGTCAACCCATAAATTTCAAGATTGGTGTGATCAAATGAGCCATCATCTTATCACACCATCTTGAGGGGGTCTATTAAGGTATTATATCCCACATTGAATAATGATGAAAATAAATACCTATTTATAAAGGATTGGACTTCTCCACTTAATAAGGTTGACCTTATTAAGATGGACCCCAAACTTTAACATGGTATCAGAGCCCATTAAGCCCCAACGAGCGATTCGATCCGATTAAGTCTCTAAAAATGAGCACACGGATTTCAAGATTGGTCTGCTCAAATGAGCCACCATCTTGCGGGGGCATGTTAAGGGAATATAATCCCACATCGGTAAAATATCGAAATAATGACCAATATATAAAGAATTGGGACACTCCTCTTAATAAGGTTGACCTTATTAAGATGGACCTCAAATCTTAACAGAATCCATACAGAGTAAAGATGCTTTGAGACATTTCTTGGAATCTGGTACCCTAGAAAAGACGTAATTAATAATGCAAAGTGAATATTTAGAAATTTAAAAGGGGCGGTATTTGGAATTAGCATTTCATTTTAAAGCCATCTTAGAATTAAAAGTGAATTTGCTTAGAATAGATGCAAATCGAAGAATTAACATCACATTTCAAAGTATTCTCGTATAACCACCGTAAAATTTAAGTATAACTTTAATCAAAAGTGATGATATGCTTAGAATAAATGCAAATTAAAAAATTTGCATTACATTTCAAAGTATTCTCATATACCCACCATAGAATTTAAGTATAACTTTAACTAAAAGTGAAGATTTGCTTAGAATAAACCCAAATTAAAAAATTAACTTCATATTTTAAAGTATTCTTGTAACCACTAACATATAATTTATTATAACTATAACTAAAAGTATCGATTTGCATAGAATGCATATTAAAAAAAAAAATGGAGTTAGCATCACATTTTAAAGTATTCTCATATACGCTACCATAGAATTTTAAGTATATTTTTAACCAAAAGTAAAGATTTGCTTAGAATAAACCCAAATTAAAAAATTAACTTCATATTTTAAAGTATTCTTGTAACCACTAACATATAATTTATTATAACTATAACTAAAAGTATCGATTTGCATAGAATGCATATTAAAAAAAAAAATGGAGTTAGCATCACATTTTAAAGTATTCTCATATACGCTACCATAGAATTTTAAGTATATTTTTAACCAAAAGTAAAGATTTGCTTAGAATAAACCCAAATTAAAAAATTAACTTCATATTTTAAAGTATTCTTGTAACCACTAACATATAATTTATTATAACTATAACTAAAAGTATCGATTTGCATAGAATGCATATTAAAAAAAAAAATGGAGTTAGCATCACATTTTAAAGTATTATCGTAAATCCTACCATAGAATTTAAGTATAGTTTGTAAGAATTTTTAATTAAAGATGGGTTTGTATGTGTGAATAATTGTGTGTTAAATTATAGGCTATCGAATTCGGTTGAGCCCAATTAAAATAATCTAATGAGGTTTCGATTTTGGGCTTTAATGTATCCAGTTAAAGTATGGATTTACATATGTGTAGAGACCGAGCCCAAATCCTAATTCTATGATGAGCCGAATTAAGTCAAAGGGCATCCCTATATAAATAGGTTATGGTCCCCAGATCACATGCAACGTATTATTCATTCTCTACTGCATCCCATCATAGAGAGAAAAAGGAGACTGCGTGTAGATTTGGAATATCATACCGCGAAATTCATATTGCATTAACCATGTCTGATTCAGGTATGCTTCCGCTTTAATTCTTACATTTCTCGATGATTTAACATGAAAGATCCTGTAATTTAAAGCATTAAATTATCTAACATAGTTAACTAAAACCAAAAGTGAAGATTTTGCTTAGAATCGGCGCATATTTAAAGAATTTTAACATTACATTTTAAAGTATTCTCTTTAACCTTACCATAGGATTTTAATAACTTTAACCAAATGTGAAGATTTGCTTAGAATAGATGCAAATTAAAAAACTTGGCATCACATTTTACCCCTTGTTTGACAACCGTTATTTTCAAACTCTTTTTTTTACATACTCATTTTCAACTATACATTTATATAATAAAATATTTTACATGTAAACTGACACGAGTGTCAAAGAGGCAATTAAGGAAGGATTCGAGACAGGATAAAGAAGAATATTGAACAACCAATTCTGGGATTTTCTTATCTCCAAGTTTAGTATTATTTTTCTTTCTAAGTTTAAAATATTACATTCTAAGTTTAGGAGATAACTGTGTTTAATTTTATTTGCCTATAAAGACAGGCCCTATTTTATCTTTGAATGATTCATGTTTGGAGAATAAAAAGTTAAAGACTTGGTTGTTTTTTTTAGAAGAGTTTTCTTCTTTGAGTGTTCTGGATCTCTAGCCCTTTCCTTGAAGTGGTGAGCCTTAATCCTACTCTATACTTTGAGGCAATTGTCTATGAGTGGTCATAACTAATATCTGGTATCTGTCATTTTTTTTTTAAGAATCAGTTTGTTTGCTGTGATTTTCCTGTATCATAAACCCGAAATGTTTTCTTATTTTTTAACCATACATTCTCTTAAAAATTACCATTTAAATGATTGTTTTTTGAAAGTAATGACCACCAAATAGGGGCTTAATGTATTCTCATATCTCCTATCATTGTTTTTCATGTAGAACTTTAACCAAAAGCAAAGATTTGCTTAGAATAAATGCAAATTAAAAAATCAGTATCACATTTTAAATTATTCTTGTGTTCCTTATCATAAACTTTTAAGTATAACATTAATTAAAAAAAATGAAATTTTGCTTAGATAAATGCATAGTAAAAGATTAACATCACGATATAAAGTATTCTCGTATAACCTACCACACAAAATTTATGTATAACTTTAACCAAAGTTGAACATATGCTTAAAACAGAGAAAAATTAAAAGATTAGCATCACATTTTAAAATATTCTTGTATACCCTACTACAAACTTTTAATTATAACTTCAACCAAAAGTTGCTCAGAATATATGCAAAAAAAAAATAAAAATAATAATAATAAATAAATAATAAATAAAAATTACTACTTATTTAACTTTGCATAGGTTCAAATTGAACTACTCAAGATTCCTAATCAAAACTGCATAAATTACTAAATTGTGTTCTTTTTATGCTTATAATTTTTAAAGTCTGAATTGCAGCTCATGCACCAGCCACATGGGAAGTGGGAATCGTATCAAACTTAAACTCATATCTTGAATAGAAAATAGAGGAAATTTGGGAAGAACAAATTCATGTGTTGATTCTGGCCCCGATTGTTGTAATCCACTTTGACAATATTCCTTCACATATCTAGAAATACACCCAACACTTTTTCATTTTCGTAATATTTTTTAATTCTGTTTCTTTTATTAGTTATCAGCTAGTATTAGAAAAACCATAATATTCATAAACTTCATCAAGTCAGAAGAAATGGCATGAATGCAACTAGTTGATGATTCCATTGGCATTGAAACCTTGTATCACATTAAGGAGACAAGGAGAGAATCCATAAAGATTAAAGATTCTCTGAGATATTTCTAAGAATTTGGCACCCAAGAAAAGACATAGTTTGGTCAATTAAAAGCAATCAAATAATGTAACTTGAAGATTTAGAATTTCAAAAGCAGTGGCATTTGGAACTAGCATATCATTTTAAAGTATTCTAATATATTCTATCATAGAATTTAAGAATAACTTTTAACGAAAAGTAGTAATTTGCTTAGAATAAACGTCAATTAAAAATTAGAATAATATTTTTAAAGTATTCTCTCATATCCTATAACTTTATTCAAAAGTAGTGATTTGCTTAGAATAGATGCCAATTAAAAAATTTGCACCACATTTTAAAGTATTCTCGCATACTCTACCATAATTTAATTATAATTTTAACAAAAAGTGAAGATTTGCTTATAATAAATGCAAAGCAAGTTAACTATTTCTAAAATTGGTGAAACTCTTTCACCGCCTTTGCTCTTTATATTAAGCACAGGTTTGATAACCATTGTTTTGGAAAAACTAAGTTTCAAATAATGTTTTTTAAGAGAATTCACAGTTAAAAAGTAGGAAATTTTTTTAAATTTACTTGCAAAATATTTTATTATACGAATGTGTGCTTGAAAATGAGTATATAAAAAAAGAATTTAAATATAATGATTGTCAAACTGGGCTAAAATTGCAATTTGCTATTTCTAGTTCCTTCAAAAAAATAAAAAACAAATCGAGAAATTCAATTACAGAATTGCTGCTTTACTTGTTACAGCTACAACCAACATCCAATAAACCCAGCCCACTGACCACATCCAATATTTACCCAACCAAATCGAAGCCCTCTAACCAAAGAGCCCTAAACACATTCTTCCATTACAACAAGCCCAACCCAACACATCTTAGCACAACACTACCATTACCAAGCCCAAACAACACCTATCCTCTTCTAGAAGGGAAAATTGTCTAGAAACCTAAATTTGAAGACTAATTTTCATAAATAAGGAGATTAATTTTAAATTCATAAATTAGGCGTTAATACAAATTTATTATAGCAAACAGAACCCCACCCCAAATTTCAATTCTCGGCACCTTCAAATTTCATCTCTCTCTCTTCACCATATCTCTTAACTCTCTACCATCTTTCTTCACGTTATGATATGGTGCTCAATGATGATGATGCCATTGCCACGATGTCACCACTATGTCAATATGAGCACTATTACTTTCGATCTGTGATGTTGTGAAGCCATCGTCTTTCTCTTCCTCGCTGCTTCAACATTGATCTGAGATGATGTAAGCACAAAGTTGCAGCGCAGTGTGAGCACATTGCTGGGCCTGGTTACAGATAGCCGCACTAAAGACAATTTGGTCATAGTTAGTCACGATTAGTCATAGATAACACAGGTTAATGACTGGGTTA